ATGGGAAATGAACAACCACAGCATAGCAGACTGATGTGTATGGCATTCTAAAGGTTGAGATCTGCTGGAAAAAAAAGATGAAGTAGTAGTAATAATAATAATAATAATAATAATAATAATAATAATAATAATGTTTAGTTTTTTAATAGATTGTAATGTTAGTTTAATTTTTTTGACCTATTAGTAGTAGTAGTAATTTTCTTTTTGAGACAAGGTCTCCCTATAGCTCTAGCTGACCTAGAACTTGCTATGTAGACCAGGCTGGCCTTGATCTCAGAGAGATCCTCTTGCCTCTTCCACCTAAGTGCTGAGATTAAAGGTGTGTATCCCCATGCCCAGTTCTACATATTATTGAGGTTTGTCTTATTTAGTAGTTTTCATTTTAATGAATGAAATTCTGTTTTCCAGGAGTCTAGTGAGGGCAAAACTTCATCTGATTGTAGAGATAATGAAATCAAAAAGTGGCAGTTAGCTCCTCTTCGAAAGATGGGACAACCAGGTTTACCTCGGAGATCTTCAGAAGAAAAAAGTGAAAAAACACCCAAAGAGCCTATAACTGTCACTTGCACAGGAGAAAAAGCATCAAAACCAGGTAGTGAAATTACCAGTTTATGTACCGTGTTTCTTTTATTTCATATAAAGTTAGCATATCTTGGAGACTTAAAAATTGAACATTCAGTGGCAGTTAAAATAGTTTAAATTATTGGTCATATTTTTTATTAAAAATGATTGCTAAAAATTCTAAGGAATATTAGTGAATTTAGTTAAGTTAGATTTTTAACACTCCCTTCCTGGCACTTAAATATTCATAGAAGAAGACAGACAATTTGTTGACAAGGAACAAGTTATTTTAGAAACTAAGAAATAGTGTAGAATTAGGTGAAGAGCCACCGTCGCAGACAGTCGGGGATACTGTTATGGAGTGAAGGAGATCAACTTGTGAAATTTGGAGGCGTTAAAAGTTCCTTGAGGAAGACATGGGTAAGTAGCACAGACACAGTATTTTAGGTAGAAATAAGTGTGCTGTTTGAAGAGTAAGAAAATCAGTGTGGAGTGACTGGAGGGGAATGCTTGGGGACTAAAATGGTGCTGTAAGATAAGCATAGGGAATAAATAGATCAGTACTGGAGGATGAGGTCAGAGGAAATGACATACAATGTCATAGTTTATTAGATTTGAGAAACCTTTGGATTTTGCACAAGGGCGTGATAGATCACCTTGTTTTGGACTATAGGAGGATAAGAGAAAGAGAATACTTGTTAGGAGTGTGTAGCAGTATCCTGTGAAAGAACAGTGAATAGTGATTAAGATGGATTTTCTAGAAGAGTTAGCAGAACTTGATAGTGGATTGGATAGAGGCAGATGAAGGAAAAAATAGTGTTGCAGGATGATTGGATGGAATTTTGGCTTTGCTTAATGGGATGAGAAAGAGAAAAGGGTTTGAGAAGGAATATTGGGAAGTTATGTTTTGGTCATTAGGACTTTGAAATTCCTGTTAGATATCCAGGTAGAGATACTTGAGTAAATCTCTGGCTGATGAATGTGGAGTTGAAGACTGTGGGGCTGTTGTAGAAATTTGATATTTGAAATCAAAGATCCAAATGAAAACAGCTGTAGAGAGTTCCTTAATAAACAGGCAGAAAAACGGGGCCCTTAAAACAGCATTATTGAGCTGGACGTGGTGGCACACACCTTTAGTCCCAGCACTTGGGAGGCAGAGGCAGGAGGATCTCTGTGAGTTCAAGGCTAGCCTGGTCTACATAGTGAGTTCCAGGCCAGCTGGGGCTACAGAGAGACCCTGTCTCAAAAAAAAAAAAAAAAAAAAAAAAAAAAAAAACAACATTAGTTTTTAAAAGTTAGGAAGAGAAAAGGATCCAGCAAAGATGGCTTGAGTGGTGGTGGCCTGTGAGGATGGGGAGAAGTGGCACTATGGTGCTGAGAAGCCCGACGAAGTCAGCAGAGCAAGGAAATGTTGGACTGTGTCAAATGCTACTTGGGTGTCAGCAAATGAATCCATACTATCACAGATGACCTTGGCTAGAATCCTTTCAGAGAGCAGCTGGGACAGAAACCGGAGTAGTAGCTCATAGAAGAATGTGAAGGGATTCATTACAATAACTCTTTCAAGTACTTTTGCTGGTTTAAGGGAACCGAAATGTGGTAGACAGAGGTAGATGTAGGATTAAGGAATTTTACTTAAGGACATAAGGTATGTTTGTTTTCTACTTTGTCCATGAAAAGACTTTCTCCAATGTAAGTTGACGCTTTGGTGAAAATCGGTTGTAAATTTGTTGATTTATCGGTTCTCTGTGTTGTTTGATGGATATGATTTTACGCCTGCACTGCACTATTTGGCTAATACAGCTCTGAAGTATGTTTTGGAGTCAAGTATTGTAATGATTTAAGTTTTTTTTCTTTTATTTCAGGATTACTTTGTCTATGTGGGGATCTTTCATGGTTCACCACTGTAATTTTGTGTGTGTGTGTGTGTGTGTGTGTGTGTGTGTGTGTGTGTGTGTGGTGAGAAAATGTCATTGATATTTTGATAGGCATCACATTGAGTCTGTAGATTGCTTTGGGTAGGGTAGACATTTTAATAATAATTCTTCAATTTGTAAACAAGGGTTACTTTTCCCTGCATGTGTTTAATTTCTTTTATTGGTGTTTAAAATTTTGCATATGGCAATCACTTCCTTAAATTTAGTTGTATTTTATTGTAGTTAGCTGTTAATAATGAAGTTTTTTCCTGCTTTATTTCTCAGGAATTTTATTACTGATATATTGAAAATACTGTTGTTTTTTTTTTTTTTTTTTTTTAATTATTGATTTTTTTATCCACAAACCTTTCTGAATTTAATACCAAGGAGGGTTTTTTTTTTTTTTTAATTATTGATTTTTTTATCCACAAACCTTTCTGAATTTAATACCAAGGAGGGTTTTTTTTTTTTTTTAATTATTGATTTTTTTATCCACAAACCTTTCTGAATTTAATACCAAGGAGGGTTTTTTTTTTTTTTTAATTATTGATTTTTTTATCCACAAACCTTTCTGAATTTAATACCAAGGAGGGTTTTTTTTTTTTTTTAATTATTGATTTTTTTATCCACAAACCTTTCTGAATTTAATACCAAGGAGGGTTTTTTTTTTTTTTTAATTATTGATTTTTTTATCCACAAACCTTTCTGAATTTAATACCAAGGAGGGTTTTTTTTTTTTTTTTTGTATATTGCTTTTCATATCCCACAACCTTACTGAATTTAATCCTAAGAGAGTTTTTCTTTTGTTTGTTATTGGTTTTGGTGGTGGTGGTGGTGATGGGTGTGTGTGTATGTGTCTGTCTGTCTATGTGTGTGTAGTGCTTATGTTCTCTTATATATAAGGTCATGTCATCTACACAGGGATGACATGATCATCCCTTTCCTATTTAGTTACCTTTCATTTCTTTCTCTTGTCTTACTACTCTGACCAAAAATCTGAAACTTTGAGTGTCATGTTCATGCTAAGCATTTTCAGATTTTGAATTTTTAGATTAGGCATCTATAGTAAAGAATACTGTAGCATTAAGAGGAAAAAACCGCTTAAAGTAGGCTTGACCTGGTGATGGGAAGAGAGTTAGCTGACATTCTGTTTTCTCAATGAAATGTGAAACATTCAAATCAGATGAGATGGAAGATGAGAAGGAAGTGTTTTGAGAAAAGAGGAGAAAGTATAATGTCATAAATGGGATGTCGGAGTTCCTGGGAAAACAGGGCTAGTAGGGTCAAGGCCAAAAGTTAAGCTACCAGCTTGTAGGGAGACAAAAAGTAAAGGTGCTTAGAATGCAAGAAACTGGTAATGGTGTACTGTCTCATTTGTTTTTTGCTGGTAAATGAAGCTATGAAGATAGTAAAACTAATAGACTTAAGGATTGCTGGAGTAGTAGATATGTGAAAAAAAGCTATCACTAGTCATTAGTAAAGTACAACTCAGAACCACAGTGGGAGATCAACTTACCTCTTTAGGAAGGCTTTTACAGAAGGACTGAAGATACGTGATCTAGCCTGTGTCTACCACCTGATGAGTGTTGTATATACACAATGGAATTCTGTTCTACACATGCAGTCTAAAAATTTGATTTCATAGAGTTGGAAATAGACAGGTGGTTACACAGGCTGGTAGTTACCAGAGGTTGTTTAGGGTAGGGAGTCAGGTAGGGAAAATTTACAAAATGAGTACTAAGTTATGAGCAAGAACTTCTGGTATATTATTATACAGCAAGGTTACTACAGATAATAATGTATGCTTCAGAAATTTAGAAAAAGGGATTTAAATTTGTGGTTTTTTTTGTTTTTTTTTTTTTTTTTTTTTTTTTGGTCTTTTTGAGACAGGGTCTCCCTGTAGCCCCAGCTGTCCTGGAACTCACTTTGTAGACCAGGCTGGCCTTGAACTCACAGAGATCCACCTGTCTCTGCCTCCTGAGTGCTGGGATTAAAGGCGTGCGCCACCACGCCCTACCTATTTAAATGTGTTTTAAGAAATGATAAATGAGATAAATTTGTTTAAACCGATTTATGTGTTTCATAGTATATGCATGTGTTATAGCATTACATGGTACTCTATTAATAAGGACAGTTTTTATGATTTTTGTGTATCAAATGAATTTTTAAAGATTTATTTTTATATTTTTTTTAATCATGGGGGTAGGTCATGCGCATGTGAGCTCAGGTGTCTGTGGGGGCTAGAGGCTTCAGATCCCCATGATGCTGGATTTATAATAAGCTGCCCAACATGGTGCTGAGAACTGAGCTTAAGCACTTTGGAAGAGTAGTGTGTGCTCTTAACCTCTGAATTATCTCTCCAGCCCCTGCAAATGATTTATTTATTTTATCACATATATGAATGTTTTTCCTGTGTATATGAAACACATTATGTGCATGCCGTACCCACGGAGGCCAGAAGAGGGTGTCAGATCCGTTGAAACTGGAGTTTCAGATGGTTGGTAACTGCCATGTGGGTGCTGGGAATTGAACCCAGGTCCTTTTCAAGAGCAACCAGTTCTCTTAACTGCTTAGCTGTCTCTTCAGCCCACCAAATGATTTTTTTTTTTCAATGCCAAGAAATCAGAAACAAGAAGAACTAGAATAAGAAGATTGTAGAATAAATGAGCTTGTATCAGAGTAGTGGACTGTTTGACATTGAGAGTTTGGAGATGTGTGAGTATTAATAATGGTAGAAAGAAAAACCAGTGGAAAGGATTAACATTTAAGTAATTCCAAACACAAGCAAAAAAAATTGAACAGTTCTGTGACATTGGTAAGGTCATCAGATTATTGGCTTACCAAGTAAATTCAGGTCAGATTTTTTTAGGTAGCTTTTTAAATAATGTACGTATGAAAAGTAACTAGGTCTGAAAAACTTTTATTGAAATTGTGAAGTGTCTATATAGTTTACGATTTTAGTACTACTTTTTGTTCACTGGGGATTTTTGTTTTCAAAATATATTTTATATATTGTTTTTATTTTATGTGTATGAGTGCAGTGCATGCATGTATGTGAGTGCACCCATGTCATGCAATGCCACGGAGGTCAGAAGAGGGCTTCAGATTCCCCTCGAACTGGAGTTAAAGGCAGTTCGTAGCTGCCATGTGGGTGCTGGGAATCGAACCTGGGTCCTCTGGAAGAGCAATCAGTGCTCTTAACCGCTGAGCCATCACTCCAGCCCCTCACTGGGGATTTTAATTAGGATTTTAACACCAGAACTATTTTGGTATGGACTGTAGTCTGATCTTATTTATGAATACTGAGTTAGTTCTGATTATAAACTTGCATTATGTCTTAAAAGCAGCTGTCTTTTTAGAAACAGTTTAAAGAGTTTTGATATTTATTCAAATTAGGAACTCATGAGAAACAAGAGACCAAAAAAAAGAGAGCTGAGAAGGGAGGACCTAATGCGCACCCTGCTGCCGCCACCTCTAAGCCCTCTGCGGGTCAGATCCGACAGAGCGTCCGGCACTCTCTTAAAGACATCCTCATGAAAAGGTAACATACCGTGTTATTGCAGAAGGTGAATGGCATGTGCTTCGTATGTTTGAAAAATAATTGAATTGTTCTAATCTTAAGACTTACAGACTCAAATTTGAAGGTACCAGAGGAAAAGGCAGCAAAGGTTGCCACAAAAATTGAAAAAGAGCTTTTCTCCTTTTTTCGGGACACAGATGCTAAATATAAGAATAAATATAGAAGCTTGATGTTCAATCTGAAAGATCCTAAGAATAATGTAAGTATTTTTTTTGTTTGCAAATTTTTTTTAATTTGCTTAATTTTGTTTGTGTACTTATGTATATGCATGTACGTGTGTAGGTACCCACATGCTATGCTCTTGTGTAAAGGTCAGGGTACAACTTTAGGGAGTTAGTTCTCTCCTTCCACCATGTGGGTCCAGGGAATTGAACTCAGGTAGTCAGGCTTGACAGCAGGTGCCTTTACCCACTGAGCCATATCACAGGCCTTATGAATGCTAACTTTTCCTTTTTTTTTAAGTGTGTGTGTGTGTGTGTGTGTGTGTGTGTGTGTGTATGTGTTGCTGGGAATTGAAAGGGCCTCAGATCACACAGTATGTTCTCAATCACCACCGACCTGCTTCCTTTACTCATAGCATTGAATATTTTACAGAGGCAGGAAGGGAAACAGGGTCTTGTATAGCTGTGGATGACCTTAAACTTTAAATTTGCCTACCTGCAACTCTTGAGTGCTGGGATTATAGGCATGCACATCTTGCTCAGTTTATGTGGTGCTGAGGATGAAACCCAGGACTTCATGCATGCTGGGCATATACTTTACCAACTGAACTGTACTTCCAAATCCAGAACATGTAATCTTTTTTTAAATAAATAATTGACTGAGAATTTCATACATGCATATAAGGGGTTTTAATCAAATCCATGCCCACTCCCTCCCCTCCAACTCCTCCCATATCTCCCCATCACTTTTTTCTGATAACTTCATGTACTCTTTCTTCTTCTTTGACTTATTTATTTTTATGGGGCTTTTGGCTACTCTAACATTACGCCCCCTGAAGAGGTAACCATAAAATCTTTTAAGGATTAGATACAAGCTCCCAAATACTTTAGACATTTTTGGCCTTTGGAACAGAGTATGTTGCTAAGAGGCCCAAGGACATTTTGACTTTTAGCCCAGAAACTGGCTACTTTTCTTTGGGGTCTTTTTACTGTAACACTGCCTAGCCAATTCCTACCTCCTATTCTTACCACACCATCCTCTGAAGAGGTTACCCAAATTGAACAATGCTTATATATTCTGAATAGTTCATCATTAGGTAGTTTTGCTGTTTTGCAAACATCAAAGTATATTTGCATAAATGAAAGCAGCCAAACCATCTTCTCTATTAAAAAACATTAAAATCTTATGAGTCTATCATTGTTGGTATGGTCTAGTATTGACAGTGTTTGCAGTAGACAGCTGTGTATTGGATCATGTGTATTAGTTATATGCAAATAGTATATCATTCTTATTTGGGATTTAAACAGCTGAAGGTCTGGTATTTAGGCAAGTTTCTAGAACCAAGCTCCTTATAGATACTTAGGGGCATCTGTATCTGATTTGAGGTATTCTCGAGTGTACTAACAGCTGCTAAAGAAAAAGCTACATTGTACAGTCTGTCATGGACTAAGAGGGAACATATGTATAATTAAATACTTGCAAACTTGGCTTCACAGTTATGGCCTTTTTATTAAAAGTTCACATACAGCAACTTCTCTTTTGCCTCTAAATGTTTGTGTCTCCGTTTCTTCTCATTTTAAAATCCTGTAGATATTATTTAAAAAAGTACTGAAAGGAGAAGTAACCCCTGATCATCTTATAAGAATGAGTCCTGAAGAACTAGCTTCTAAAGAGCTAGCTGCATGGCGACGGAGGGAAAACAGACACGTAAGCATGTCTTGTAAATATGTGTTTGGCTTGGCTGTCAAAACCTTTAGTTTCCAACCATAGGAAACAAAGTGTGCAAAGTTGATGAATGAATGCAGAACACAAGGAAAGCAGACTCTCCTCCTCACCTTCTCCTTCCTCTCCTTCTCAGTGGGGTTGAATTGCCCAGTTGCCCAGGGTATCCTACACTCCTCGGGTCAAGTCATCTTCCTACCTCAGGCTCCTAAGTCATTGACACTACTGTCACATGCCACCATGCCTAGCTTCCTGTTTCATAAATCCTTCAGTTTTTTGTTTTCCTCATCTCTACAGATTTTTCATTTTTTCTAGTTACCAGATTTTAGAATTATTTCGTGATTTGTTACTTTGTGAATCAAAAATTGAAAGATCTTAAACTCATCCATACTTACCATAACCAGTTTGAAAGCATTGTGAACATTGACAACCAGATGATTTATGTCTAAATGAAACTTTATACACATTTAGTAGAGTCTTTTATTATTTAAAGTTTCAGTGGCAAAATTGCTGAAGAAAGTAAAGCTTTTTCCAGTGCTGATTTATTGATAAGATATAACCTAACTTGCCATGTGTAAATGTTTTATATTTGTCTAGTACTTTTTCAGATCTAACTGGAGTGTTATAAAATATGTGCACCATATCATATTTTTTAAACAAAAATTTCTGAAAGTCACAGGTACCAACATTTTTCAGTTGGGGATTTGAACTTCAGTACTTTTAAAGATTAACTGAAATTTTCTTTGAGAAAACATTTCACGATTTAGCCTAGGTTGGTTTTGAACTTTTGTCCTCTTCCCTCAGTACTCTCTGAGTATTGGATTTACAGGCAACATCACAGTGCCTAGCAAGATTGAGGGGATATGTGACCTTGAACTATTATTGCCAGTTGTAGCCATATACCTAATATTAGCTATTTTAGGAAATAATTGTTACTTACAGTTCATATTAACCCTGCATGATTCACCTGATTTGTTTGTCCACAATATCTGCTTGTATCTTAGGCACTAAACCTCTGTGTAGATCTGTGCCAGCTCTTACCTGATCAGGTCACGAGGTATCAGTTTGATGTATCATACTTATTCAAACATTACTTCACTTTTGGCTTACATAATTTCTTCTATTTATCTTGAAAATATTATCAACATCATCATCTTTTTTCTACATGCCCCAAATATACACGTGCCTTGCTTATGTTTTAAAATTGACTGCCAGTGGTCAGTATCATTTGCCTTTGAAACCACCTTGTTCTTTTCTTCAACCATCTACATGGTATTTAAATGGGGGGGGGTGTATATATGTGGGGTGTGCATGCCATGACACCAGTTTGGAGGTCAGTAGACAATTTTGTGAGCAGTTTGTATTAGTTACTTTTCTGTTGCTGTGATAAAACACCATGACCAAGGCAACTTATAGAAGAGAAATGATTTGGGCTAACAGTTCCAGAGGGAGACTTCATAATGGTGGGGGAAGCATGACAGGAGGCAGCTGGAGCAGAAAGCTGAGAGCTCACATTTCAAAGAGCAAACAGGAAGCAGAGAGAGGAGAAAGGAAGTAGGGCAAGGCTGTGAATTCTGAGCCCACTCTCAGATGGAGGAATGCTTCCTCCATCAAGGTTACACCTCCTAAAGGTTCCGTGACCTTCCTCAAACAGGGCCACTAATACTTGAGCTTATGGACAACATTTCTCATTCAAACCACCTTAGTAGTTCTCTCCTTCCACCTTTACATGGATTGTAGAGAGGGAGCTGATTTGTGTGGCAAGAGCCTTTATCCAGTGAGCCATCTTGCTCTCTTTTTTAATACAAGATTTATGGTTAACAAAGGTGAGGTGAATGAACAGACCTTTACCTTTCTTACTCCATACTGCCTGCAGCTACTTTTCATTACTTCTTGCTGTACTTGATAAGTTTATATGTGTTATTGCTAAGTGTTTTTTCAGCTGGGAGTTAACAGTGTTACTAAGTAGGCTCAGGAGACTAGTAGGTAGCTGCTAGGTTATTTTATAATTGGTATTGTGGGGGATCCTAGACCATCAAATTAGGAATCTAAGAGTTAAGATAGTTTTTGGTTCCCTGTTGCAGTCCCAAAATTGCAAGCAGATTTCAAGTACAAACACAGTGTTTCCCTGTTTTGCAAATTGTACTGCATTTCAGCTGACTCCTTTTAGAATGTTCATGTTGTTAAGGTTCAGCTAGCCCCGTCCTTGTCTCTAACAGGGCCTCATGCACTTCACAAGCCCCTGAGAAAAGGGAACCAAGCTGATAAGCACCCTGGTCTTTGAAGTCAAGAGAAGCAGACTTTTCTCCACTGTTTGGCCAACACAGCAGGCTTCCCCTTTGATCTCTAAAGAGGGCAGGTTTTAACAGTCCTGCTCTCCTGCCGCCCCCCCCCAACTTTAAAAAAAAATATATCTTCCCACCTTCTGCATCCTCCCAGAAGCCTCCCCCTTTAAAAGACCCCAGCTCACAACCCAGGAAAAAAATCTATATCTATCTATCTATCTATCTATCTATCTATCTATCTATCTATCTATCTATCTATCTTCCTGCCTTCTGCACCCCCCCAGAAACCTCCCCCTTTAAAAGACCCCAGCTCACGACCCGGGCAGACACTCTCCCTGCCAGGAAAGGAATCTGTCCCATGTGTTCCTTTGCTAATAAACTCTATTCCAATGGAGTTTTATCTGTGTCCTGGTGCTTTCTCCGGATCAACCGGATTCATCCATAGGCTACTTTATCTATCACATGTGAGCCTGTCCTGGATGAGGCATGAAGCCTAGTGCTTAAGACTTCTTAGCACTTAAAATAATCTATATGTGTTTTACGGGAGACTAGCTAAAAATTTCGATGGTGATTCTTATTTTTCAGTAAATTCTCTTTAATTAAAGTGCATATTTGAAAGAACATACATTAAATTGAGTATTTCCCTTAAAATGTTTCCTGTTAGACCATAGAGATGATTGAGAAAGAGCAAAGGGAAGTAGAAAGACGACCAATCACAAAAATAACTCACAAAGGTGAAATTGAAATTGAGAGTGACGCCCCAATGAAAGAACAGGAAGCAGCCATGGAAACTCAGGTAAGGACAGCAGACGTGTTGTATTAGCCCAAAATGTGAAGATTTAGGAAAGCTTTATTCGCTTATTGGTCTTAATGTAGAAAGATTATTTTTAACACATATTTTAAAATAGCTTATGTGGTGGTGCATGCCTTTAATCCCAGCACTTGGGAGGCAGAGGCATGCGGATCTTTCTGAGTTCGAGGCCAGCATGGTCTACATAGCAAGTTCCAGAGGGGGCCAGGGAGGAGGGAGAGAATCTGTTCTTTAAGCCATGTTTCACCACAGACTTTTATGATATCCTTGATGATCTAATACACCGTTTGTGTTCTCTAATTTTTTTTTGAATTTTTGTGTATTTCATACAGAACATCTTAATTATCTTTATACCCCGTCCCCATTGACACCTCCCATAGCCCCCTCCCCCTGCACTGGAATCCATGCAATCTGTCATTTGTGTTAAGGCATACTGTGCCAAGTTAGTGTCAATTTTATAATGTGATTATTTCCCAGTGTCCAGATTTTCTGCATTATAGGCCCCTGCTGAAAACTTGTTACAGTGTAGAATTCTGAGAGTTATTGGTATAGTAATTCCTTGGGTGCTTTGTAAACAGTGTACTATTTAAGGGCTGCTGTAATTTTTTTTCTTTAAATTATGATTTATTTTCTCTTGTACAATAGAAAATCGAGATAGAGACATCTATTGCAAGTTTTCTTATTTTCATATACCAGTGAAAAAATAATTTGAAGACTTACTAAAAGTTTTGATGAATGAGTTTTAAGTTTTTGTTCTAAGTACAAAAGCTAGGTTTTTTTTTTTTTAAATAAAGAGTACAAACAACTATGAATGTGGTAGTTTCATTTTAGAAAATAGGAATATGAAATAACTTTTTTTAAATTGATGCCAGATTTTATTGGCTAAAACTGATTTTCATTCTCACTTAATGTTAGGAACCTTCAGCCGGTAAATCATTGGAGAAGCCAGAAGGATCTGAAAAACAAAAAGAAGAGGTTGACTCCATGTCTAAAGATACCACTAATCAACACAGACAACATCTTTTTGATCTTAACTGCAAAATCTGTATAGGTTGGAAATTTTGCTTGCTACAATGTTGTATTCATTGTTTAGGAGATATATCAGTACTAGTAATTTAGGTAGGCTTTGTTTTCCTAGTTTTGATCGTATAGCATCTACCCACTTTGATTTTATAGAATTAGGTCCAGTTTGCATATGGAAAAACATGCAGACACACTTGTCCCATATGAACCTAGGTATATAAATTTAATAGTAGCACACAGGAACATTAAATCCCATTAGACCTGACCTGTTCTTGGAATGTTATTTTTCCTTTGGGATGTCTTTTTCTAAACCTTACCTAATATTTTTCATGTTTAGTAACTAACATTACACTGTGCACTTACAGTTAGGAACTTCTACTGTGTACAGCGCCAAGTAGGATACAGATTTGTTTTACTAAGGTGAAGACAAGGCCCAGCAGTTAAGAGCACTGGCTGCTCTTGTAGAAGACCTGGGTTTGGTTTCTAGCACACACGGCAGCTAACAACTGTCCGTAACTCCAGTTCTACTGGATGTGATGCTTTCTTCTGGCCTCCATGGGCATTATGTACACGTAGTGCACCTACATACTTGCAGGCGAAAAGCAGACACATAAAATATAAATAAATAAGCAAACAAACATTTATTTTACTGAATTCTTTAAGTTCTCAGTATTTTAGATAAAAATCACCAGGGAGTCAAAAAATTTAAGTAGTTCTTATACATTTTCATTTTTGTCTGTTAACATTCTTTTCCTGATTTTCACATTAACAAGAGATTAGTCAAGTCATGATTAAATCATGAGTAAATGATTTTTCATATTTGTGTTGTTATTTAATATGTTAATATATTTATTTAATATTTTAATATTTATAAAAGGACCAGAAGTATCAAGGTAGAACCCTCCCATAACATTGCCATGAATGAGTTGTATCTCCATTAGCTTAGGTCCTTGTGGAAGAGGGTTGGCAGCTGAGAGCAGTGATACATTCTTTGTTGGTTCTTATGCAGGCATAATGCAACTCACTCTGAGAAAGGATATATCAGTATATATTACCACAGGAGATGGTGTGTACTCAATAATTGATCCAGAGAGATTAAATCACTTTAGAAGTAAAAATGAATCAAATTTTTAAAATTTCAGGAAAAAGCTATGTATTTTGGTTTCTTCCCACTTTAGGTCGAATGGCACCACCTGTAGATGATCTGTCTCCAAAAAAAGTGAAAGTTGTTGTAGGAGTAACCCGTAGGCATTCAGACAATGAAGCTGAACGCATAGCAGATGCACTGTCTTCAACTACAAATATCCTGGCTTCTGAGTTCTTTGAAGATGAGAAACAAGAGTCTCCCAAATCAACACTCTCTCCTGCTCCACGGTAATTTTCTCCTGGTCATAATTTTATGTTAATAATCATAGATTTTTAATTAATTGTGCTTAAAAATCTGCAGAAATAGAAAAGTAACATTTAGGAATTTTTGAGAAAGCAACTATGTATACTCTAAGCTAATTGGGATAAATGAACAGGACTCAAAGTTTATTCTTTTTAAATATTTTATTTATTATTTTTACTTTTTGTGTATGCCTGTATTGCCTGAGTGTAAGTGCACCCGTATTGTGCAGTGCCCGCAGAAGACAGAAGAGGCTGGGGGATCCCCTGGAAGGGGAGTTTTGGACAGTTGTTAGCTGCCATGTGGTGCTGGGATTTGAACCTGGGTCTTCTGCAAGTACAACCAGTGTTCTTAACTGCTGAGCCATCTCTCCAGCCTCGAAAATTAATTTATTTTAACTGGTTTTTAGTCAGAGATCTGAGACGATGAAGTGATTTTAAACGTCTTTAGTTATGCTGATCCCATGAAGCAGGTGATAGTCTGTTAAAAAATGCTTGCACTTCTTTGAACTTTAGTCCATTTAATGCTAGCCAGAGGAATGACTTTATGGAGCATGACTGTAAATTTAATTTTATAAGTTGGAAATGTGAACTAACTCTTTAATGATGGCTTTTATTTTTACTGAACCTATATTATTTTATATATAGTATAAATTATATATGTATATATGTATTTATATTTGAGACAAAGTATCACTGTGTAGCCCTGGCTGATCTGAAACCCTCTTATGTAGATCAAGCTCTACTTGAACTCAGAGATCCACTTGCCTCTGCCTCCCAAGTGCTGGGATTGAAGGTGTGTGTCACCACACCCAACTTGATACTTACTTTTATTGATAGCCTTCTTGACATGATAAAATGGAAGTTTCTGATGACTAAGTAGAAAATGGTTTTATTCATGAATCTTTTACTACATTAATTTGTGTGTGTGTGTGTGTGTGTGTATGCATGTGTATGGGTGTTAAGTGAGAAAATCAGAGGACAAGTTATTGGAGTTGGTTCTCTTTTCTACCATTTGTGTTGAACTCAGGTCATCTGACTTAGTGGCAAGAATTTTTACCCACTGGACCATCTGGCTGGCCTGGTTGCTAACTTGTTAATATCTTTTTCTAGTCCAGAGATGCCTGGAACTGTTGAAGTTGAGTCTACTTTCCTGGCTCGATTGAACTTCATCTGGAAAGGTTTTATCAATATGCCTTCTGTGGCAAAATTTGTTACCAAAGCCTACCCTGTGTCTGGCTCCCCTGAATACTTGACAGAGGTAACATGGACTCTTCTGCCTTCCTTTGCTTAGATTTTTGCATGTATTTTTGAAAGCAGAAGGCAAGGAGGCATACAATTAATAATTTTGAAAAATATATTAGCAGTGATCCTTAAACAGTTCCGTTAATGGAGTTAGGAATTCACAGATGGATTTATAGAATTGTAGAAAACTGCACTCTGAAAGTTTTAAATTCAGGTATCTTCTTTTTCCAATATGTACTATACAAAGTCAAAGAATTAAAAACTATAGTATCTTTGTGTGGATATCCAAGTTTGTTTCTGAATACAGATTCACATAAAAGATTGACATATTATGGCAAGGTTAGCCCACCAGAGAGGTTTGTCATTGATAAACAAATCTAATTCCTCCATTGCTAATGTTTTAGGACTGTAATTTTTAGCTGCCTGTTTCTGTCATTGTGTAGGCTGGGAGTTAAAGCTTAATAGACAGTCTCATGAGACTACCCACCATAGTCACTAAAGCGATATCCTTGGTTGATTTTATATCTGAAGGAATAGGAAGAAACTGTTAAAAAATAGAAAACAAATGGTGGATAATACTGTGATGAATGACAAAGCGTGACATTTACAGAACTTTTTCAAAGGAAATGTATATTTACATGTTGCAAAGGAAATAAAGCCAATACACATGTACTGTGTGTATATATTGAGGCTGTATTTTTGTTGGTTTGTAGCACTGACCTTTTCATTTATTCTTAAGTCTTCTGATCAAAAAGACAAAAGTTGTTTAATGCCTATGTGCATGCTGGGCAAGCATTCTACTGCTGAGCTGCTTCCACACCCTGTGAATTGCTTCTTCATGTTATCAGTTTGTTTAGCAGTTGTGGTTTTACTGAATAAACAGTTTGTTACTTATATTACTTGGCTAATAATATTTTAGAGTTGTGAATTTTGCTAGAGAAAAAGTAAATGGGCCAATAATGGTGAGCTAAAGAAAGACTACAAATTCTAAAGAGAAATCTTTTTAGAATTTGTAGTCTTTCTTTAGATCATGTTGAATCTATTTCTTTTTTAAAATGTATAATTACATCCTGAACTCCAAAGCCCTTTTAATTTTGAATAACACTATTATTTTCCTCTCAGAGCCACAGTGTCTATGTGATTACTTTCCAGAACTCTACCTCTGTTTTCTAGTTAGTTTGAGGCTAAACTCTCAAATAAAATATGGAAAGCAACTAATGAATTAAACTTTTAAATTGAATTTAGTATGAATTAATTATACTTTGATTTTCCTTGATCTTCATAAGCAAAAAGGAATATACTGAATAAAGTTGATTGATTGATATATATTGATATACACACACACAAAGTTAATGTAGCTATATGCTTGTGCTGTTAAAGAAATACTTTGCATTGTTACAGTGTTAATTTTCATTTTGCAAAAATATGTTCTTTAATCTGGTGATCACTTTTATTTTTTTACTGTAGGATCTACCAGATAGTATTCAAGTAGGTGGCAGGATATCACCGCAGACAGTTTGGGATTATGTGGAAAAACTAAAAGCATCAGGAACCAAGGTGAGTAAACTTTCCACAATGCCAATGTGCAAATGCTTACAAAATCAAACTATTCAGAATCTTATACAATGATCCAATGTCTCTTGGGGGAAGTCAGTACAAGTTCAAAATGTATATAATCTCATAAAACTAGGCTAAGGGGATGGGGAAGGTGATGGCTCAGTCAGTAGAGTGCTTGTCACATAAGCATGAGGATCTGAATTTAATCCCTAGCATCCACACAGAAATTCAAGATAAAGTGGTACACTTATAATCCCAACACTGAAGAGTCAACCATAGGTGGACCTCTGCCTGCTGGCCAGCCAACCAAGCTTGATCAGTGAGCCCTTGAGGTTCCAGAGAGAGACACTTGTTCCTTTTCTTCTTTTTTCTAATTTATTTTTATTTTATGTGTATGACTGTTGTGCTTTCATGTATGTGAGTGCACCAGAGAGACTTTTTCTTAAAACAAAATGGACAGCTTCTGAGAAACAACACTGAGGTTATCCTGTGACTTCCACATGTGAACAGACACCTGTGGAGAGGTATACATACCTTTGTGCACACACATTCACAGAAACTTCAGTAAAGCCATTTGCCCAGAACAGTACAGCATTCCCTTTTATTTTCTGCCTTCTGGTATACTTCCTTTATCAACACTCTGGAAGAAGTGTTTTAGAGTGAGTATTGAGATTAATGGTAGAATTCAGCTTTGCTTTAATTATAGGCATTTTTTTTAGTTAGGGCACAGCTGAGCTCTAAACTTTAAATCCAACTGGCTTAAACAATACAGAAGTTTGTTTTTCTCTGTTAGATAGGCTGGTTGTTAGGGATTGTCAGGGGCTCTGGTTTTATAGGATCATTTGGGAAGCGGGCTTTTTTCTTGTCATGTTATTTCCAAAAATATTGCCATCATCAGGTAGAAATGTTTAAAGCTCACTTATCAGCAGCAAATGGGAATAAATGAGGACTGCTTGTCAAATTAGTTTTAAGGACAAGACCCAAAAATTGTAGTCATTACTTAATTTACTTTAACTTCCAGTAGTAAGAACTTAAACAGCCATTTGTACTGCAAGGGAAGCTAGGATGTAATCTCTAATGGTGCCATGTGTGAACCAAAAATTAAGGTCTGTCAGTAGCAGAAGGAGAGACTAGAAACAGGAAGCTAATTAGTAGCCATGGTCAAGGTGTTTCTTTTGTTCTACTTCACAGTGGGGTAGTTGTTGGATACTGTTGTTTCAGTGTGCCCAGACGTATGGCTCTCATGATATACTACAGATATCAAAAGATTTGGGTTTCTATATTATCGTTGCCACTGAAAGTTTGTGTTACCTTGAACAAATTCATTGATACCTTGGATCCTTTTTTCTTTCTTTTTCCCCTGCCTCTCTGTACCTTATCCATGTTGGACAAGGGTATTACTGCTGAGGTCTTCCCACAATCCTTTTATTTTTATGTTGAGATAGGTCTGCTAAATTGCCCAGGCTGGCTTTGAACTCATTGTGTACCCAGCAGTCCTTGAATTTGTGATTCTTCTAGCTCAGTCTCGCAAGAAGCTGGGTTTACAGATAGATGTGTGCCACTATCCCTGGCAGTACTCTATTTATTTTTTATTATTATTTTTATTTTATGTGTATGAGTGAATTGCCTGCGTGTATGTGAGTGCACCCGTGTTGTGCAGTGCTGCGGAGGTCAGAAGAGGGCTTTGGATTTCCCTGGAACTGGAGTTAAGGATGGTTCGTAGCCGCCATGTGGGTGCTGGGAATCAAACCCGAGTCCTCTGCAAGAGCAGTCAGTGGTGTTAGCCGCTGAGCCATCTCTCCAGCCCCGACAGTATTCAATTTCTTATGGAAAGCCTTCAAATAATACAAAACTCTTGATAATCAGGAAAGGTCTTTTCTTAGTTGTTGTTTCCTTTTACGGTTTGTTTTTTGTTATTTTTTGTTTTTTGATTTTGTCTTTTTCTATAGCTTCAGCTGGCCTGGACTCACCAGCGTAGACCAGGCTGGACTGGAACTCACAGAGATCTACCTGCCTCTACCTCCCAAATTCTGGGATCAAAGGTATGCGGTACCACGCCCAGCTTGTATTCTCTTTTCTATTTAAGTTGGCAAACTGTTGTTTCAAAACCATCATAAAATTCAACAGATTGTTACTAATTGAGTATTAAAAATCAAGCTAAGTTTAGATTATTTTAAACAGTTGTTTGTGATTCTCTTGAATAGGAAATCTGTGTGGTTCGCTTTACACCAGTAACTGAAGAAGATCAGATTTCTTACACTTTGCTGTTTGCGTACTTCAGTAGCAGAAAGCGCTATGGAGTAGCAGCTAACAACATGAAGCAGGTTAAAGACATGTACCTTATTCCTTTGGGTGCTTCAGATAAAATCCCACATCCTCTTGTGCCTTTTGATGGACCTGGTACGTATAAGCTTTAATAATAGAGTATCACTGAAATGAAGTGGGAAGGGTGGTCCAGAGTGAAAAGAATGACTGCTTTCTGTGTCAGGATCCAGACCTCTCAAGATGGTGTGAGGGCTAGCCAGTACCCATTTAATATCGTTAACTACTGTAAAGGGATATCTTTCTGTAATGATTGAAGTGACTGTTGATGTTTATTTTATACAGGACTTGAACTGCACAGGCCTAATCTGTTGTTGGGCTTAATTATTCGCCAAAAGCTGAAGCGGCAGCACAGTGCTAGTGCTGGTCCCAGTCATACAGCTGAGGCTCCTGAGAGCGTGCCCATAGCCCTGCCACCTGACAAAAAAAGCAAAACGGAATCTGCTGCAGAGGAAGCACCTGAGGAAGAAAATGACTTTTTTAATTCCTTTACAACTGTACTGCACAAGCAGAGGAACAAGCCTCAGCAGCCTCTTCAGGAAGACCTTCCCACAGCAGTTGAACCCTTGATGGAAGTTACCAAACAGGAACCACCAAAGCCTTTAAGATTCCTGCCTGGGGTACTGATTGGCTGGGAAAATCAACCTTCCACTCTGGAATTAGCAAACAAACCACTTCCTGTGGATGATATACTTCAAAGCCTTTTGGGCACCACTGGTCAAGTATATGAGCAGGCTCAGCCAGTGGTAGAGCAAAACACTCTTAAAGAAATTCCATTTATAAATGATCAGACCAACCTAAAAGCAGAGAAAATAGATAAAGTGGAAGTAACTGAAGGCGAATCCAAGGAGATAAAAGTTAAAATAGATAGTCTTTCAGAAACCACAGGGAATTCAGGAGTAGAAGAAACTTCATTAGTGCGATCCTCTTCAGTTTCTCCAGGGACTTTAACAAATCTTAGTCTGAGAGGGAAACCACCAGATGTTTCTACAGAAGCGTTCTTAACAAATTTATCAATTCCATCAAAGCCAGAGGAAACTGTGGAGAATAAAGAGAGAACATTAAAAAGACAGCTGCTCCAAGAACAAGAGAACACTCTGCAAGATAATCAGCCTTCCAGTAATTCTCCATGCAGGTCTAACACAGGAAAAGGACACATAGATGGCAATACGGGTTGTAGTGAAAATCTTGTTGCTAACACGAGGTCCCCACAATTTATCAACCTGAAAAGGGATCCTAGGCAAGCAGCAGGGCGGAACCAGCAGATAACTGCTTCGGAAGGTAGAGATGGAGATAGCTGCCGAAATGGGGAAAAGCATACTCTGTCTGGGCCATCACACAGCAAGGAGCTCTTAGCAGAACAAAGCATTGTAGAAGAAAAGTTGTGTTCTGTAGAGAAGAACTTATGTGTTGAGCAGAGTGATGATTCAAACATTGCACAGGACTCGTCATCAGTAGAAAACGTAAATTCTTCCCAGGCAGATCAAGCAAACCCTTTACAGGAGGAGATTTTGACACAAAGTATTGAAGCCATTCACCCATTTAGAAGAGGACCAGCTGCAGCAGCAGCGCATTTTGAAGTTGGTAATACATGCCAGTCAGAATTTCCTTCTAAAACCATCGGCTTTACTCCCAGGAGCACCAGCCCCAGAGCATGTGCAAACTTCTCACCCATGAGGCCACAGCAACCCAACCTTCAGCACCTCAAGTCTAGCCCTCCTGGATTCCCATTTCCAGGACCTCCTAATTTTTCCCCTCAAGGCATGTTTGGATTTCCACCACATTTGCCACCTCCATTACTTCCCCCTCCAGGCTTTGGCTTTGCTCAAAGTCCCATGGTTCCCTGGCCACCTGTTCATCTCCCAGGCCAGCCACAGCGTATGATGGGCCCTCTTTCACAAGCATCAAGATATATGGGCCCACAAAATTTTTTTCAGGTTAAAGACATTCGGAGACCAGAAAGGCGCCACAGTGACCCTTGGGGTAGGCAAGACCAACAGCAACTGGATAGGCCATTTAATAGGGGAAAAGGGGACCGTCAGCGATTTTACAGTGATTCACACCACCTGAAAAGGGAATGGCATGAAAAGGAATGGGAACAAGAATCTGAAAGGCACAGACACCGAGACCGAAGCCAGGACAAGGACAGAGACAGAAAAAGCAAGGAGGAAGGACACAAAGATAAAGAGAGGGCACGGTTATCACATGGTGATCGAGCAGCAGATGGGAAAGCAAACAGAGATAACAGGAATGCAGACAAGAAACCAGACAGACCTAAAAGTGAAGACCACGAAAAGGAGAAAGAACGAGAGAAGAGTAAACACCGGGAAGGGGAAAAGGACAGGGATAGGTACCACAAAGACAGGGACCACAGTGACAGAGCGAAAAGCAAAAGGTGAAAATCAACAGGCTCTTCAGCACTGCATTGAATAACTGTTACATGTTGTGTCTTTATACGGTTGCCTGGTAGGATTGTGCCATCTTTTAAATTTTTACTGTTGGTGGTCTGCAGAACAATAAATTCTGCGTTGGTGCAGCGTGCCCTACACCAGTGCTCATCAGCCCTTCTTCATACCACTGTCCCTAGTATAGGAATTTAATATTTTTAAAAAGTTTTACAATGCTGTATATTCAAAGATTTGTTTTATTAATATGCAATAAAGGCTTCAAATTTTTAGTTTTCTTCCTTAATCGGTAAATATGGTTGACTATGGGATATATTTACTGCCTCTAGTGAATGTCCTTTATACAATGACTAATTTGAGAGTAATGTGTGCTCTGTACATTTGTTTTCAATGCACTGTTTTTAAAGAAAATCTTGGAGCAACAAAAAAGGCAAGCAGCTTCATAATCAGAATATGCTGATCATTTAGTTGGGCAGTTTTTGACCAAGCCTTCGAAGCCCAGGGAGTACGCTTACTACTTTAATCTACGCTCTTTGAAGGCATTTTGTGGTAGCCATCACTTTCCTTTTCCTTTTTGGCTCTTCAGAAACTTGAATACTTAAGCTTGTACATGATCTTGTGTTTTGCTATCCTTTTTACTGTAAAATGTAAATATTTTAAGGGATATTTTGATTCTAAATACGATAAAAGAATTTCTCATCTACTTTGTGTGTGTGATTTGAAATTCAGTAGTAAAAGAATTTCTTCTTTAAAGCTTTTCCTTGAGACATTATTCTTTCACTCAGCCAAGAATATGTACACATTACGGGGGCGGGGGGGGGAACAGTTGTTTTCAACTTGTAGATTATTGGTTGCGATGAATCACTTCTAAAGAGGCTGGTACTTGGAACTGCCAGCAGGCGTTTTTGCAGTTAACACACTTAATTGCTGTTTTGTTTCTGAAAACTTATTTACCATCAGATTTTGTTATACTGACTCACAATCATTGTAAAACTTCAGAATGTTTTCAGTGAAATGTGTTTTGTAAAATTGTAGGGCAACTGTAAAATGAATATGCCAGTTTCACCTGAAATAGAAAACACATGGAACTGTTGTTAATCCAAATTTAAATTTACTGACACCCTAAAATATATACTGTACTGATGTCTATAACCTAAAGCAGTAGCTGCCAGATGATGATAACACTCAAGACCAAACGAGTGATTGGTGTTTTGTCCTACCTGTACCGATGAAGAAAGATGTAAGTAGTTCCACAACATTAAGAAAATCATTCTTAAAAAGTCTAAGGATGAGTGTCAGGTTTTGAAAGTGAATCAACTTTATTAATTTCCCTGGAGAGAATAACAGAATCAAGCATTTTGTCTTAATTGCTTCAAGGGTTACCACAGCCCCCCCATCTTTATTCCCAGAAATTTATCATCATCATGAAAGTTCTAAAATGGAGGGTTTTCATTTAAATAAAGTATTTTTTAACTTTGGTCTACTTTTATTTTGAAAATTAACTTATTAAAGAAAAGAAAGTCCTCACACAAAACTAATCTTGACTGTCTTTTACATGATTGTGAAGAATTCATTTTTCCCAATATGTCAGTAAACCTACTCTTTGATGTGACTTGTGGATTTAGCTGGCACTGATTTGTTTTCTAAGATACAAGTAAAAAGCAGTGAGTTCTTGAGTGGAAAAAGCCCTTATGTCAGTTTTTAAGACTTCCTAGCTTATAGTGAGTGTCTTAGGCATACCGAGGTCCTTGCTCTCAAGTTTCTTGAAAGCACTTCCAAATAGGCAAAACTTAAGTACTCTGCTGTTAGTGATGACTATTTCCTGGGCTTACAGGGCTGGTAGAGCCAGGTGTCTTTTCCCTTTTGTTTACTCTCATTCTTGCCCTCATTCTTCCTTTTCTTTCTCCCTTCTCCCCCACATCCCTCCCTGAGGATGGAATCCAGAGTCTGTCACTGAGTCGGGTCCTAAGGCAAGAGACAGGTGGTTTTTTGTTTTTTTTTTTAATGTGCACGAGTGTGTTGCCTGCATGTGTGTAAGTGCACCCATGTCGTGCAGTGCCCATGGAGGTCAGATGAAGGTGTCAGATCCCCTCGAACTGGAGTTGTGAATCGTTGTTAGCCACTTTGTGGGTACTGGGAATCGAACCGGGGTCCTCTGCAAGAGCAGGCTGTGATCTTAACCAGTTAAGCCATCTCCAGCCCCAAGAATCAGTTTTTTTGTTTGGTTTTTTGATATGAGTTCGTGTAGCCCAGGTTGGCCTGGAACTGAGTATGTATCCAAAAATGGCCTTGAATTCCTGGTTGTCTCTGAGTACTGGAATTACATGAATGCACTATCAGCCCCAGCAAGAACCAGGTCCTTTAACAGTGGAGAAGAGAGAGTCATACTGACTTGAAAGGGAAAACAGGGCTGGTGAGATGGCTCAGTGGTTAAGAGCACTGAGTGCTCTTCCAGAGGACCCAGGTTTGATTCCCAGCACCCACATAGTGACAGTTGTGTGTAACATCTCCAGGGGATCCAACAGCCTCTTCTGGCCTCTGTGGACTTTTGTACACATGGGTGCATGTACATATATGCAGGCAGTGCACACAAAATTTTAGATTTTTTTTTTAAATGACAGAAGGTTTTTATTAAATAGATCCAAAGCTATTCCTGGCTTCTTAAGTTCCATCCACAACTAGCCTCATGCAAAATAATGATATAAATGAACTTCATCTTTCAGTGTCTCTTTAAAATGGCTTAACACTTAAAAATTAGACCATTTTCAGATGTGCCTCTATTAAAGTAAATGCAGCACACCATCTCTATCCACCGGGTATTCCACCTAAACTTGTAATAGAAAGCTGCTGTGAGCTTGTTGAATGCTGAGCCTCGTATTGTGCATTCATATAAACTTTTATCAACCCTTCTGAAAATAGGACTTAGAGCTTAGAAAAGTTACCCAAGATTAGACTGCTTTAGTCAGATGGAATTGTAGTCAAACTTGGCTTTCTCCATAGTCTCATCAGCCATGCTCTGAAAACAGGCAAGCAAGAGCATTGGTAGACTTCATAACCTGTTTTCCTCTTCATTCTTCCAGCCTTAGACCTTTCACTCAACAGCCCTACTCAAACTAAGCAAGGGTTCAACTATAAGCAGATTGAAGTGTGGTACAGATCAAGGTATCAGCAGGATTATGTCCTTTGTTTTGCAATCTTCTAGAGACCTCCTCCTCTTCGTAGTTCCTGGTCACCTCCCCCACATTTAAAGCCAGAGAAGAGAGCCCTGATCCTCTGTTACCATCTCTGACCTCCCCTTCTGTGCCCTCGAGCATGCTTGTGGTTACTTTTGCCTACCCAAGTAATGCAAGATGTCCTTCATCTTTGAAAGACAGCTGAATAATCTGTCATCTGTGACTGTCATTCTCTGCCATAACCTGACCTGACGTCTTCTGGTATTGCAAGGATTAAGATGTAGGCATCTGGGGCTGGAGAGATGGCTAGGTGGTTAAGAACACTGTTCTTGCAGAAGACCCGGGTAAACCCCAGGACCTACGTGGCAGCTAACAACTGTCAAGTCCCAGGGGATCCAACAGCCTCTTCTGTTCTTTGAGGGCAGTGCACGACACAGGTGCACTTACCTACATGCAGGTAATACATGGCATACACATAAAAAATATTTGAAAAGATGTAGGCATCTTTGGAGGGGACCATTCTGTCTGGATGCATAAATTGTACCATAGTTGTTGAATTGCTAGGCTTTTCGAAGAGTAGAATAAGGTCATTGTAAATACCAATGAGATAGAAGAAAATGGCGTGGTGGTAAGTCCCTTGAGTCAAAGCTTATCACATAGGCACTATAACCACAGGGTAGCAGAAATAGTAACACAATTGGCCACTTGTAGTTTCAAAGTGAAGAGAATGCTTTCACCAAGCCATTTTGACTTTGAGGAGAATCTCTAGGAAGGGTTCAGTTCTTGAATATTTGTACCTACGCTGCAGGCATTTGTATGGCACTTGGAATCCACTCATAAGTGACATGGGAGCTGTCGAAGCTGGTAGAGCTCACCACATAGTGTGGAACATAATGATGACGTCTGTAAAATTACAACATGCAAGAAGTTTTAAACCAGCAGTTCTCCACCTTTTTTCCCCCGAGAATTTTTTGTACTCTTGAACGCCAAAGCTCAGTGATAAACTTCACTTTTGGTTTGTTTTTTTGTTTTTTGTTTTTTTTGCAGTTTTTGAGATTGAACCCAGTACCTTGTGCATATTAGGCAAGCTGAGTTACATTCCCAGCCCCACTTTAATAATTTTTAAGTTTAATGATTTTTTTCATATGAGGCTCAGTGGTAGAGTACTTGTCAAGCATGCACAAACACTGGGTTCAACTTCCAGTACTACATAAACTGGGCATGGTGATGCATACTTGTAGTCTCACAGTTTGAAGTGCAGGAGGAGGAGCATCTGGAATTGCAGGGCAATCCTTGACTGCATGGTGAATTCTATGCTTGCTTGGAATACTTGAAACTGTCTCATGTTAAAAGTAATGTGCGAAAAGTAGCTTCCATGCTAAATTTAGTAAAAATTGTTTTAAAAATATGCATGTTCTTTGAAAATTTCATGTTTCATTTATAATGTTTTTCAATCATATGCATTCACCATTACCCCTTTCCAACTCCTTAGTGCACCCCAGCCTGTCTCCTTCCCAATTTCATGTTTTTTTTTTCTTATTAATAAACCCCTTGAATTCAGTGCAGCCTATATGTCCATGGGTGTGAAGCTGCCCCTGGGAGGTGTGGGCAACCTACCAGCGGCCATGTTCCCTAAAGTGAGTGACTCTGCCTCAGTTATTAACTCGCAGCTTCTCTCCAAGAATGGGGCCTCAGGATCTCCCAATACATGCTGCAATGTTGACGGAGTTGATTTTATTCAAATCTTGTGCAGGTCACCATAGTCACTATGAATTGATGTATGTAACGTCTATGGCATGTCCAGAAGCCAGCATTTCTCTGCTCTCATCTGCCAGCTCTTAACATTCTTTTTTTAAAGAAAAAATTTGTTTTATGTATATGAGTGTATTGCCTGCATGTGTGTAAGTGCACTCATGTCCTGCAATGCCTGAAGAGGGGGTCAAATCCATTGGAACTGGAGTTATGGATGGTTAACCATCATGTGAGTGCTGGGAGTGCTTTTACCTGACTCTTAGCATTTTTTTTGTCCCCTCTTCCACAATGGTCTCTGATCCTTGAGAGCAACACAAATCTCTAACATATTTAGAAGGACGTTTGACAGCTTGACCATTTAACAAAATAGTAGGCTCCCCCTAGGGCCTATGGTCTTCCCCAGTCTTGAGCTTTTGACCAGGTTTACAGTATCAGGCATGAAATCCCTCATGTGCAGCAGGCCTCGTAGTCATAACCATCGTGCCACTATGGTACCTGTGGTCACATCTTGGCATGCCCATCAGTATTGTAGCATGCAGGTTCCAGGGCTGAGTAAAACCATTGATACCTTTCTCAGCTCACACAGCACTTTCTGGCACTATGAAGCTACTTAACAGGGAGAAATACATGAAGAAAATCTAGAGCTAAATATGGTGGTGCATACCTGTAACTCCAGTATCTGGGAGACAAAGGCAAGCCTGGTTCTGGTTAACAGCGAATTTCATGTAATGAAGCCTTGTCTCGATTGCAGTTATGTAAATATTCATAATTATGTGCTAAGTAGGTGTTAATTTCCTTATGTAATTTTTCTTTGATTATTGCTTTTCATATTTTTCTTCATATCCATCATTCATTTATTCCTACTAGAATTTTATTCAGGAATTTCTCAGGTGAACAAGTAATCAACTAATTGATTTAAAGCTGAAAAATCAGCATATTTTAAAATATATAGGAAAAAGTAGTATCTTTAGCTGTAATTTATAAGTCTATTTAAAAAATATGTCAGGAGGCTGGAGAGATGGCTCAGTCACCCAAATAACAGCACTTACTGTTCTTCCAGAGAACCTGGGTTCTGTTCTTTGTGGTTAAAAGTTCTTCCTGCTCTTTGGTCTGCGTCCCGATTCTCTATTAGCAATTTGGGTAACCTCTTCAGAGGATGGTGTGATAAGAATAGGAAGTAGGAATTGGCGAAGCAGTTAGGGTAAAAAGACCCCAAAGAAAAGTAGCCAGTTTCTTGGCTAAAAGTCAAAATGTCCTTGGGCCTCTTAGCAACATACTCTGTTCCAAAGGCCAAAAATGTCAAGTATTTGGGAGCTTGTATCTATAAAAGATTTTAGGGATACGTCTTCAGAGGGGGGAATGTTAGCGTAGCCAAAAGCCCCATAAAAATAAGATGAAAGAGTACATGAAGTTTTCAGAAAAAGTGATGGTGAGATATGAGAGGAGTTGGAGGGGAGGTAGTGGGCATGGGTTTGATCAAAACACCTTGTATGCATGTATGAAATTCTCAATAAATTACTTATTTAAATTTAAAAAAAAAAAAAGTTCTTCCT